TTTTATGAGAATGGGGTGAGAGACAGTGTCCAAGGCCTTCCTAAAGTCCAGAAAGACTATGTCCACTGCTACCCCTGCGTCTAAGTATTTGGTGACCTGGTCGTAGAAGGCCACCAGGTTGGTCTGACAGGACCTGCCTCTAACGAACCCGTGTTGGTTGCCCTAAAACATAACCTCCTCTGCTGGCCCCTCATGAACATGTGCCAGGATAATTCTCTCAAAAAGCTTACCCAGGATTGAGGTGTAAGACTAACTGGCCTATAGTTTCCTGGGTCCTCCTTCCTCCCTTTTTTGAAGATGGGAACCACATTGGCCCTCTTCCAGTCCTCTGGCACCACACCAGAGCACCATGAGTGCTCGTCAAGCTCGTAAATCTTACAGCAGAGATAGTTTACTGCACCCTAATACCGGCACGCATGTAGATGGTGACACTGTACTGTGGAACTAATTAGTCTACTCTGCAGTAAAGTGCACCTGTAAATGCATCCAGTGGCTGTACCCACATGAGTGTGGACATCTGTTTACCTGGGGACAAGCAGTAGTGGCACACCTGATGCTTGTCCCCAGGGAATGCCTGTGCCATGCACCCTCTGGCACGTGGCAGGTTACCCTGGTGGGGGCAGGGGAGGCTGGGGCCAGTACTGGGCTGCCCCCAGCAGCCTTATCTGGGGTTCTGGGGGCCTCCTGGGGCTGCTGCTCAGAGTGTAGCTGGCAGCTGGAGTGTGGCTCCAGCCAGCCAAGCTCCGGGTTTGGGCAGTGCATGCTGTCCCCGTGTGCACCACCCCACTTTTTTTGCATGGGTTTTTTTACCCCAGAATCTCCTGGGTTCAACCCCCCCCCCAGACATCTTGCAGTATGGAGAACACCTGATGTACAGTATGTGGCACCACAGATGTGTCTGTGGTGCTTTTTCCTGCACAGCCACACTTCCCTAGACACAGCCAGTGTGCTCTAACCAGAACTAGTATACGGTCAGTTTGATGACTGAGGAGCTATAAGCACATCTCTTACCACTGTTTCTCTTCCCATCGCATGGTATTTCCACTAGTGAATCTAGGTAAGCAACCCAAGCTAACCTCACAGATAAATGGTATTTCTGCCAAAAAATTACATGAGCTTCTTTAACACTGAATGTTAGGTTGCAAATGTCACTGTCCCCCTCTGACTCTTATATTCTTAAAGGGTCAATGAATCAGTTCAGAGAGCCTCTGACATGGCAAAGGCCAGATTTTCACAATTGCAGACCATCCAAAACTCCAGCTGAAGTCTATGTGAACTGTGTATGCTCCTTCCCCTCAAAAATTAGGCTTCTGAGACCTCCTTGCATGCTGAATATCCCTTTATAGTCCAAGGAAGTCAGGGGGAGTCCAGAGACACTCAGCATCCTTCAAGATCATGCTATCTGGCCTCTTATTGTCTCATGAGATTTTGAGCCTGAATTCCTCTAAGTCAAGAATTTTTGTGGCTGATATCTTTTATTGAACCAACTTCATGGTTGGGATAGACTTAGATGAGCTTTTGGATATCAGTGTACCCTTCTCCAGGTTTCACAGCTACAACATCACTCCCATGCTACAGTGCTGACCAGGTGGTGATGAATCATTTGGTTCTAATTCAGCCAGGCAAGGTAATTATACACTGGAGAAGCATGGAGTTTCCCAGTTCCTTGAAAAAAGAACTCTGCATCCACTGCCAAGGTCATAGGGTAACTCTCAATGCATCTGTTTGCCTCAGATTTGACAAAAACTTTCTGTCTAGATTTTTACACTACACTTTTTAGTTAGTACCTGAATGCCTATACCTCACATAAAGCATCCCGGGGTGAACAAGTTGATGAAATGCCAGTTAACTCATAATATTATACTTAATGATGGAACCTGGACAGTACTCTTCTTTGAAGGTAATTCTTTCACTGCTGAACGTGCTACATTCTCTACTATTTCCTGCTGCAGCCAGGCAGAACATGTTTTCCATCAGGTGACTATTAACGGGAAAAAAGTGTGTGTGTTATATTTTTATATATTTCTCTGGAGTGGTTTTCAGTTTAGATTGTGAGGTCATTATGCTGTGGTGCTCAGCCATGCTCATTTGTTAGCAATAATGCTGGAACTCATTTGCTTCCTGTAAATAATGAAAGTAATTAATCAAAATGTTACAAAGCAATGAAATCAGCTGAAGAGGTCTTGACTGTCCTTTCAGGTTAACTACTGTAATGGGAAGCCAAAGGAGAAGAGATTCCATTTTCCTATCTTGAATGTAAGCAAGAACAAGTGGAAAGACCAATAAAAATAATGAAAGTCAGCAGCATTTAAAAATTAAAACTCTTTGGTTCCATAGCTGAGCTGGACAGCATTGCGAAGGGCCAGAAAAATGGCTGATAAATCTAGTTTCCAAGTGCTTACTCCCAGTTGTTTCTTCATTGTAAGAGTAATCTTCCCATCTGTAGAAAAGAATGGTAAAATATAAGCTTTTCTCCAAGGAGGAATTATTGGTGTCCTTTAATTCCAGTTTACATTAAAACATGAATAAATTAGATTTAAATAATCTATAAACATTACCAGAATAGACTATGTAACATAATCAGATAGAAGAAAGCACTGTGTGGCAGATACAGACTTTACAACCTTTTTTTTTTCTCCAGGGGATAGTTTATTTATATATCCCCACTTTCTGTGGTACTACCTGTCAACATCTGCAAATAAACATGCTTTGCTACTTGTAAGGTATCCAGAAGAAGTTAGGAGCCAGATGAAATCTGTAATGGTAGAGTTCAACTGATGGAATTCAGAGTGGAGTAGTAGCACGTACTTGCATTGGAACTAGATTTAAGTCATTTTTGCTAAATAACAGCCCCAGCAGAGCAGATATTTCTGTCCTGAGGAAACACAGAAAGAACTCCAAGAAACAGTTTCCAACGGAAAAAAACAGCTGGGGGAGTACAGCCCAACATAATATCTTCACATAGGGCTTGATCCTACTCCACTGAAATCATTGGGACTTTTGTCATTAAATTAAATAGCATTTGGGTATTGGACGTATACAAGATCATCATAGATAGGCTGATAAGAAAGCACTTCAGATAATATTAACTTAATAGAAGTGAACTAAGCATTCTTAGACTATGGAGTAGTTAATGTGTTCATATCCCAGATGAATACACCTCCGTTGAATGTGAGAATTGTTTTCAATGTGTAGGCTGAAGGAGCATATCAAAATGTACAACAATGAAGATGAGAAAATTTTGCTACCATGGAACATAAGGGTGATTGGTCAGGTTGAACATTTAGCGGTTACAATGGGAACCATCCATGTGGACTGTTTTGCAGTCGTCATAGGTAAGTTGTTTAGTATTTCGTGTCCAGCATATCTAATGTCAGTCTAATGAAGTGTGGTAACAGGTAGACAGTTTGTTAAATCATCAACAAATCTGAAAGTGTTTGAGCATTTTAAACATGGAGGCCTTTAATATAAGAGTGGGGATATTCATTTTTCCTACTATTGTTTCAAAGTGAATGTATTGCTAGGTCAGCAGTTCAACTCACCACTTTATGTAGGTACAGCCAAGGCACCAACATGTCAGATTTGATGTGCTGTCCCACGTATGATACTGCCTCACTCCTGATCTTGAGCAGTTTACAAAAATATAGGGTTCAGTAGAATCCTAGCCTGGATCCAGACATGCAGGCGCGTGTGGTTTGTGGCGCTGCAAAACTCTTTGCAGTGCCACAAAGCACACAAGTTGCACATTAATCTGTTTGCAGTGCTGCTAATTTGGATTAGCAGGGCTGCACTAGGATTTTCCAGTAGCAAAAAAAAAATCCTGGAAAAAAAGAAGGGCAACCCATGCCAAAGTGGCGAGTGCTGGGACGAATGCTGAGATGGGCGAGTAGACTGCCCAGGGCTGGAGCCCCCGTGTTGAGGCACTTTGTGGCTGGCTGGGGCTCAGGGTGCCTCAAGAGAGGGGAGCAGGCAGCCCCATCTCATGTAGCCATGCCCAGTATTTACTTTCCATGTGTATTGTTATTGAAGAACATAAATTTACCATGTCTCCACTAACATAAACCCTCTTATATCTGTCTCAACAGATAGGAGAACTGATTTTGGGTGGACATCCCCCACACTGAGACACCCTATGCTCCAGCCAGCCACTTCCCACCTGGCTGGGGTGCAGTGCCCCTGGCTGGGGCAGCCTTGGGCTGGCTGCTCCCCTGTCTCCACATGTCTCAGTGCCAGGGGGCTTCACTGCGGAGCCCCTGCACCAAGGCACGCTGCACCCCAGCTAGCTGCTTCATGGCTGGCTGTGGCTCCCCATGCTTCAGCATGGGTGCTCCGCAGTGAAGCCCCTGCGCTGAGGCATGCGGAGAATGTGGAACAGCCAACCCAAGGCTTCCTGCTCCCCCATTTCGAGGCGCACTGTACCCCAGCCAGGTGGGGAGTGGCTGGCTGGGGCGCATGGTACCTCAAAGCAGGGGCTTGACAGCACACAGAGATGGGTGAGCAGACAAGCTGCCTGCTCCCCCATCTCCACATGCCGCTCCCCACCTGGCTGGGGCACAGGGTGCCTCAGCACAAGGGATGGCAAACCCCTGCTGAGGCACCCTTGGCCCCAACCAACTCCCCCCACCCTGCAGCACGTGGGGCAGCAGGACAATGGGTCCTGTGGCAAAGCACATGGGCAGGGGCATGCACTGCAGCACAAAATAGCAACACAAATTTGTGCCACTGCTATGTGAGGGCACACCCCTACTCATGTGGACCTGGTCTTTGAGTCTCAGGCAGCTCATAGGTCATCTAGTTTGGTTCCCTGCACAAATGTAGGATTTGCTATACCTAAATCAATCCAGACAGATGCCTGTCCAACCTCTCCTTGAAAACCACCAATGAAGGTAATTTCACAGCTTCTCTAGGAAGAATATTTCCTTGTCTCACTGCTATGTCTACTCTTGCAATTAAAAGGTTTTTCCTCATGTTTAATCTACATCTGCTCAGCAGCCGTTTAAAACAGTGGTCATGTCAGATTTCCGTGGCATGTTTTATCCTTGGCTGTTCTGTCCAGTCTGCCAAGAAACATGTTGGGTTTTTTTGTGAGGGGGAGCAGAGGGAGGCAATGTGGGAATCTGTTCATCTGGTCTAAACCCATTTTACACCAGATGACAGACTCTGGTCTCCTGAAGGTCTGAATGATGATCTGGCAGTGAAATCTATGCAGTCTATTACCAATCCATCTAGAATCATTCAGTCCCTCTAGAGACTGATATGTACTTAGCTGAACACAATTCAATACATGACTGAGTTATTTGCTAACAGCACAGTAGTCCACTATGAATTTTGAATCCAAATATTTATTTTTTACAGAAGACAATGAGAAAACCTTCTCCCTTGGGCTGCAGACTTTGAAATCTCTGAAGGTAGGAGTTTTCTGTATGAGCTGTCTTATCCTATTGCTGTTGTTGAAGGAGACGATTACATCACTTTTTATTATTCTTTCAGTGTGTCATAAATATGGAAAAGCATCATCTTGTATTGGGGAAGACAGACAGGGAAGAAATCCCATTTGTTGATAATAATTTCTCTGCAAATGGAGAAAAGTAAGTGTGTTGTTCTCAGATTGGTCTGAAATCTTGTGTGTAGGCAAACCTTGCTAAAACAGTGATCACACAGAAAGAGTCATACAATCCCTGGTCCTGAACCAGAGCTCTTGGATAATAGAAGAAAATATTTTCATTGTCATCAGGGAGCTTTGCAACAGGACTCCTGGATTTCTTTTTGGCAGATGTTTGCCATGTTTTTTCCTAGCAACTATTGAATAGTAAAAGGGACATTTTCAAAGAAAGGGGGAGAGTTTTGACCCACTTGACACTTTTGGAGATGAACGGAGCAGCAGTCTGGCTGACTCCTCCCACCCTGCTGCAAGTGTGTACCATAGTGCAGCAGTATTATGAGATACCCTTCAAAATATTGGGGTTACCCCTTTTTCTTGTACCGACAGTACTGTTGCCCCTCTGACAACCATAGCTGATGTCTGGGCCCTGACATTTTAGAGAGAGATCAGTAATAGGGATTCTGGGTATGTTCTAACTGTAACTTGTTTTATGTATATATGGATTAACTCATAAGACTACTGTCTCTGGTATGCTTGCGAGCAGCCTTTAGGGATACCTCCAGAGTGGCCTCTGTGCTGCATGCCTGGGTTTGGCACATGCAAGCTGAAACAGGTGGGCAGGACAGGTCTCCTGGCACTCACCAGGGCCATGGTGTAGACCAGGGGTGGGCAAAATATGGCCCACGGGCCAGATTTGGCCCGTGAGGCCATGCTATCCAGCCTGCAGGGCCCCTAAAAAATTTAGAAAATTCATATTTCTCTGCCCTTAGTTCCTGTCAAAAATGATGGGAACTAAGGGCAGTAGGACCCAGGGAAAGCCCCAGCGGGCTCCCCCAACAGCAGGGCCTGCCTGGCCCCACCCCCCCAGCTGGCCTGGGACCACATGGCTGCCCCGCACCAGAACTGCAGGTAAGGGGGAAGAGGGAGGGGGGAAGGGCAGGGAAGGAGCCCAAGGAAAAGTGGCCCAGGGAAAAGCTGAGCATGGCGGGGGGGGGGGGGAAGTGGCTCCTCCCACTCCTACTCCCCCTCCCTGTGGCTGGCGCTCCCTGCTGCAGCCACTTACAGCCCACCTAGGGCTGCCTGCTCTGGACAGCCCCACGCAGGCTGCGAGTGGATGCAGCGCGGGGCATTGGGCACAGGGTGGGCAAGGGACTGCTTTTCCCCTGCTGCACTCAGCAGCACCTTGTAACCTGGCCTCACTGCCAGCCTGGGCCTTTCATGGCTCCAGGTTTGCCTGTTGGGGCTGTGTGGCGACAGCAGCTGCAGCCCCCCGCCTGCCGTGCCAGGCAGTGTTTGCCACCACTGCCTATGGGCTGCCCAGCATGCACTCCAGGCAGGCAGCAGCAGCCAACACTGCCTGATGCAGCATGCAGTAGCTGCCGCTGCACACAGGCCCGATGGGTGAGCCCGGAGCCGGCGCAGAGCCCTGGCTGGCCGCAGGGACAGGTTACAAGCTGGTGCTGAGTGCAGGGAAAAGCAGCCCCTCACTCACCCCGTGGCCGGCGCCCCGCACTGTAGCCACACATAGCTGCTTGCAGTCCATGTGGGGCTGCCTGCTCCAGACAGCCCTGCGTGGGCTGAGAGCAACTGCAGCAGGGGGCACCGGTCATGGGGTGGGCGAGGGGCCACTTTTCCCTGTGCTCAGCACCAGCTTTTCCCCATGCTCAGCACCAGCTTCTTCCCTGTCAGTGAGCAGGGGGTCGGGGCTATGTGCTGCTCCCCACCTGTACCATAGGGCTGGGGGGCACTTGGAGTGAGGGGGTGGGGAGCCAGTGGGAGAACAGGGCCCACACTGGTGTCCCAGGGCCAGTGCCAGCAGGGCCCAGAGCAGAGTGGCAGGAGAGCGGAGTCCCAGCCAGCAAGAGCTCTATGGAGCCGGGCCAGCTCTCCTCTCCCTGCTGGTGCAGCCCCACCTGGCTCTACGGACCCCTGCCAACCTGTGCCCCGCTTTGGGCCCCATCAGTGCTGGCCCTGGGACATTGGTCCCAAGATGGTGACCAGGGGGCGGGGCACCTGTCAAGGGGCGGGGCTACCCATGCAGCACTCGGCAGCCTGCCAAAACTGGGTAAGCAGCCCTCTGCCCGAAATAATTGCCCGCCCCGGCGTAGACATATTCTGTATGTAACTGTGTCACTTGCTAACCCAGGGGCAGGCAATTATTTCAGGCGGAGGGCTGCTTACTAAGTTTTGGCAAGCCATCCAGGGCCACATGACAGGCAGCCTGGGGCAGATAAAAAATTTAGAAAATTAATATTTAGGGGCCCCGTGGGCCTGATAGAATGGCCTGGTGGGCCGCATCCGGCCCATGGGCTGCATTTTGCCCACCCCTGTGCTAACCCCTGCCATGTTAGTACTACAGGTTTTTATAGAGTTGTGCAGGTATTATCAGGTGCAGGTATAGAGTTCTGGCAGCCTATTATCATTGTGGCTCATTATTTATATACACCAGTGCCTCCCATCAGTTCAAGACCTAGCAGGATTGGGATTGTACCACCTAAACACACTGGATCCTTTCTGAGTCGTATGGGAAATAAATAGACCCTGGACTACTTTTATTACTTTCATAAGGGAATGTATGGAATGTAGGCACATGGGCTGACAAACAGATTAAGGAGTCAGGCCACAAGTACAGAGGTCACCATTGAAAGCCAGTACTTACCAGCAGCTGCCATGCAACAACTTTGCAGATGCCAAAATGACAGCCCACTCCAGGAAAAGGGAAATACTGAGGTTTCTCAGAACCAAGAGCGTGGTGACTATTGGTACTTGCTGACTTCTGAATAGCAACATCTCTATCTGTAACATTCCTGAGATATCCTTCATGACCATGGGGGGTCAGGCTAGATGATCTGATCAGGTCCCTCCTGACCCTAGCTACTATGAAACTATGAAAGCATCCCTTGTTGACCAGCTTGTGGGTAGTAAAATCTGTGCCATGGTCCTTGACTCTCCACAGACTTCTGGAACAGGAAGCAGTCTACTTAGGAAGAATTTTTGGTTCACTTCAATTCTTCTATTTAGTTCACTTCTATTCTATTTTAGTATACTTTCCATTCTAATTGTTGTAGCCACCTGAATACAGTGCTAGGGAAAGAGGGATGCAGGGAGTAGCCTGGCCACCACTCAAGCGAGAAACAATATATCTGCATTGTTATGACACTGGGCTTGTGGCATGAAGCAGAAGGTTTGTCAGTGTTATGAGAAACTTCAGGAATGAGGTTGTCAATGCAGGGCTAATTTTCCAAATGCAGAATATAAGGCCCAGTTCAGGGACTTTTTGAAGATACCAGGAAACAGCCCTGAAATTGGGGACTGTCCTTGAAAATATGAGATGGTTGGTTGCATTACCATGTGTTTTACCAGGATGGTACCAGACAGACTGACTGGTACTACATCCCTTTTAAATTCAACCCTCCTGTTGATTGAAAGAAATTTACTAGGAGTGGCTTTGCGGAGGGTATATTCTGCTGCCTCATGCCATAGCTGGGTTAGGATGGAAACTGGAGGTTGGTAATATCATCAACCTGCGAGTGAAAATATAGTGTTCCTTTCCCATTTCCTTACAGATAGATCTGATTGTAACAAGTTAATGCTGTAGTCTACTAGAATGGGAAACTGGAGGAGGTGCTTCCACTGCTGAATAGTCACTTCTTACTGCCACATCTGAAGCCCATTGCAATTTTCTTTATAAGGTTTACACCTTATAAATTGTAAGGTGTAATTCTAAGGAGATTGTAAGGTTCAATTTCTTATTGACCTAAATAACTTTCCTTTTCTGTTGCAGCACATCTGAGGCATGAAGATAGACTGAAACCTCCCCTTCCCCTGACAGGAAACCCTAACGTCAAAGAAAAACTGTGCAGCTTTTCTGGATGAAACAGCAATGTATTACATTGGCAACACCTAAACTAGGCTTCATTTAAGTACACTTAATCTGTATTCAATAGCCAGTAACTTTTTAGATCTTGTCTTGTAGAGCTATGTTTTTTGAGATACAAAGATGTGCTTTTTTCTGGACTTTCCTACTGTGCCCCACTTCCTTTTGAATGGTAAGACAAACCTTATGAATTTATTCTAATGATGAGAAGAGTCATTTTTTATAGAAGCCTCATATGAAATAATTTTATTTCATGCTGGGTATAGGCTGCCAAAATTAGATTTTTTTAACAATGATTTTTTCAGCAGTTAAATATTTATATACAATAAGCTGACATCACCAGATTCAAACCAGGAAGGTAGTCATATTGAAATATCAACCTAAATCTTATACATTGGTCAAAGATCATCCTAATACCCATAATATTGTTGCTATGTAATTAGGGATGCAACTGCTGAATCTATGCGAATAGTTATATAACTAGTTACTAATCACGTTTGCCTTCGGAACTATCATTGTATTGCCAACCCTCATGATTTTTGGGATTGTTCTTAAAGTCTACGCTTCAGGAATGTGAAAAACATAGCTCTTTCTTTTATCTGTATATATAAATATAGATAAAAGAGCTACATTTTTTCCCACATTCCCGGAGTGTAAACTTTAAAATCAATTCCAAAAATGATGGGATTTGGCAACACTGTATTATAGTTACTGATCAAGAATAGCAGTTCAGGAAAATTCACCACCAGGCTGAGTCCAAAAGGAAAAAAATGGGGACAGGCTTCTACAGCAGCAGTGGTGCTGAGAGACTACTTGGTCAACTAGACTCAGCTATGAACCAAACCCTGACTTTTCTCTGAGCACAGAGACTACTTCCTCAGCCTCTGCCATCACCACAGCTCAAAACCAACTACACCTGGCACAGCCAGAAGGCTGACTGGCTAGGTTGGCTTTGAACTCCTGAACTTGACCATCACTCGCTTCAATGCACTATTTTTATATCTATTTACAAATTCCTCAGGACCTCAAGTACAACACTAACCCTGATCCCCCTGAAATCACTTAAGAGTTTTCGTGGGGACCAACATTTGGTTCTTCATCACACGCCTCTTTTAGCAACAGTATTACTGCCTCACATACTGGCAGAACAAATTCGTTGTACCGCTTGGGAGTCTGACATTTCACAATAGCTGTTCTCTGTGTTTCTGAATGCCAATAGGAATTATTGACAAACACCAGCTGGGAGGCCAATTTCAAGTCTAAGAAATTTGAAAATCAGGCATGTAAGCTAATATCCTTTCTACATTCTCGTACCTGATTATCCAGCCATCATGGCTAGCAACAAAGCCAGATTTTCACAGAGCCTCTCTGTCTTGCATCTTATGCTGTATAACCTTGAGTGCTAACCCTGCAGCAAAAGTGCTTTTAGGTCCTAAATTTAGCAGTGCACTTAAGCACATGTATTCCTCTTGACATCAATGGGACTGCTCCTGTACTTAAAAATTTGTATGTGCTTACATGTGCTCCTGGATTAGGGCTTCATTTGGTGAGATCCTGACAGGCTTAGCACCTATAACTTCCAGTGAAGTTAATGGGCCTCAGGAATTGACTCAGTGGGAATTCTACCAATAATTCTCATCAACTTCAAAGGGAGATCTGGTCCAGAATATGGCCCACAGTGTGTGATGCCTGGTAAAGGGCTCTTCCTGATTTTTTTCTGATTTGTCTACAATAGTAATGATAGCTCTATTACATGGCTGTCAGGATTACAATAGCAGATCTAGACTTACCAAATGTGTGCCTGTATTTTAACAGCTTAGAGCTTTGTCTCTTGCAGTGGATTTGAAACACTTAGTTTTTATTATTGGATATTGCCATCAAGTCAGGAGTATCAGTGTTTTGGGATAGTTTCTATGGATCAGTTCTCTCCTGTAGACAGTATTTTATACAACACAACTCAATGTATATTCGGGGTGGGCTGCACTGTGTAATCCTGCCAGTGTGTTGTAGAAATGTATTTCATTAAATACAAAATATATTTGATTAAATTTATATGCCATGAGTTTGGTATTTTGGTACTTCTTTCTGTGCTTATTACTGTGCTGGATGTTCTATTAAAGTCTAAATAAAGTTGATCTCCTGTTACAATCTGTTTGTTTAAGTTCCAAGTACTCTGGTGATATCTTTTTATAAACTTTGAATTTGCACCTATTGAGAACAGAGATCTGTAACAGGCTATGTCCCCAGGCATGGTGATGGTGCCCCTTATCAACCAAGTGGCTCCTGTTCCACTATTTCCTTAATCTCTCTCTGCTCTCTTGCTTGCCACACCTAGCTGGAATTATTTAGCTTGGGACAAGGGAGGTTGCCCAGGCCCCGGAGTGACTTCTGGTCCTGTGTTAGTCAGTGCACTAGCAATGTTAGCCTGTGGGTCGATTTCTTGGCCTCTGACCTCCCCTCTTACCAGCCGCATGCCTTGCAAGTGTTAACTGTTACAGTTCAATGGGCCCTGAGCCAATATATGTCTATCTTTGGCCTCTGTGTCCTAAGCATCTCAGTAGGCTCTTGGCCCCAATCCAGTGTATGGTCCTCTCCAGCCTCTGTCTTGAAGAGCTCTAGTGGACTCACAGCCCCTGTCCAGCCTTCTTGTGGCTTCCTGGCATGACTGGAATCTCTGCCACCCCTTGCTGGTCCCAACCAGTTCACCAGTATGGACCATAACTAAAAGTTTATAAATAAAACTTATAAGTAAAACTACTAAGCTACATGCTATAGCTGAACTCTTAACCAGCCTTCAGGGTAGGCAGATCCCAGGCAGCCCTTCATCCACAGTCCCCTCAATGCAGAGCTCTTTCCAAGACAGCCTGCAGGGCCAGACTCACCCTGAGCTATATATCCACCAAGCCATGCCCCTGGGATGACTAGTCATGTGCCTTCCTCTGGTCTACTGCAGGTATCCTCTATTCAATCTGTAGACCAGCCAAACTGCAGTAGCAGTTTCTTTCTTCTCCAGGCTGAACTCTGTCCTACAGCACTATCGCTGTGCTACCAGCCCTGCTGCCCTGGCCACTTTGCCATATCGCCTTACCTCTGAGCTTCTTGTTCTGCACTGGGTGCCTACAGTCTATTCGTCCCCTACTGATTGGCCTCTCCAGGCTACTGGTAAGCAGCTCCCTGCCCCTGGGTTCCCCTGTAGGTAATGGGGAGTCCCCAGCTCCCTGTTACAAGAGCATTTAGGTATTTAGCCTGTGTACTTCTGCAGTTTTCCCTAGTCAGAACGAAAGAGAGCAATAAAATGGGTCACAATGAGCTAGTTCCCAGAGTATCCTTCTCTCATTCTCGCCTTAAATGCTTGAGGAAAAAAAGATGAACTTCTCAGCATCTCTGGAAAGGAAACACCTGAAGCACCTAAAAAATGGTAAAGAGCAACTCTATGATATCTCCTAGTTTGTTGGCGAGGTTACAGTACAGTGAAAGTGACATAAAGTGTTAAACATGACAGCAAATGATAGAGGTACACAGCAGTACAACAGATTTGAAAAGGGGTATTCCCTCTCCAGATATGCTGGAAACCATGGTTCTAGCCCATTGTGACTCATTTTATTTCTCTCTCATTCTGACTTTCACATGCTAGCCTATTAACAACACTGCTCTGTCTTGAGAACACCGTTTTTGTCATCTGACCCATATATGTTGGTGGGGAAGGCAGTATTTTCCTGCAGTCCCAGTAACCCCAGAGGTCAAAGAGCTGAGACAGAGCAGCAGAGCACACACTATCAAAAATGTTAGTGTACATTTCCTAATGCCAATTTATTTCAAGCAATTGTCACAGGAGAGTTTTATTTAGCATGCAACTGTATGAACAGAGTACTGAACTGAGGCCTAGGATGGCTGGATGTGTCTAACTGTGAAGGGTCAGAGCTGGAAGCTCTGCCACTTTACCCTGGGTGCAGTTCTTGTCCCCAAATACTAGAGCTGCATTATTCCCACTCTGCCCAGCCTGTCCATGCAGTCACTTCTCAGTTGTAGCTGGGAAAAAATATTTTTATTCTTGCTTACAAACGCATGCAATTTCTGATGCTGCAAGAATCCTCTGACCTGCAGCCCTCAGCTCCTGGATTTGCTCAGGTCAGTAGACCAGAGGTTGTTACGCTTCTGTCTCTCTGGTTACAAAAAGGTTCACAGGAATCAGATTTCAACTAGGTTGTGGGCAAAGAGAAAGAGAAATTTTCCACAGACCAGGGTGTTTTCATACTTCCTCGAATACTCTTACAAGTCTCAAGAATCTCAGCCCAAAGAGGGACTGTCCCAAACATGAATCACAGAAAGGAAAAGGGCAAGGCTGAGGCACGGGCCAGAAAGGAGGCCTGGGCTATGAAAAATATTGGGAAGGGTTAAATGTAGGAATTGGGAAAGACTTGCTACGATGTGAGCCCGTGAACAGGGACAGTCAAGGCAGTGGTGAGTCAGAGAGTGGCTAGCATTTACTATCTTGGGGTGAGCATCCTGTAGTAAGAGACCATGAATTTGCTGTTGTCCATATCAGTGGGAGAAACACAAGAAGCCAGGGAAGATTGGTCTAGAGGACACCTGGCATTACCGGATAAAGGACAAATGAGCCTGACAAGAGTGGGAAAACTGTTATGCCAAATGCCTGTTATGTTCTGCAAAGTGTTTTGGGGGAGTGTAGCTAGAGGTGTAAGTCACTTCAGCACACCTAGTTACACTGACTCTTAAGGTCTGATTCTGGGCCCTGTTTCAGTCTTTACTTTTGAGTTAATTTGGGCTACTGCTTAGGAGCTGTACTTAATACTCTTCTATCCACACACATTATCTCACCTGAGTTTGACAGTACGTTCAGCCCAGGCTACTTAGTACAGCTTGGAGTAAGAGCTAGAACCTGCACTCGACTCACTTTAGCAAGTTGCATTGCAAATGCAGGCCAGATCACTCTAGTACTGACAGTCCACCAATGCCTTCCTTGCATGCTAAGGATAGACAGTGTTTTTCCTCAATTCGCCAGAAAAAAGTGGCTGATCTACCGAAGCACAAGGATCCATGGGCAGTTACATTAGCTTATTCATGGGTAAGTACAGCACCAGTTCATAGATACTACATTTTGTATATGGCTTTGCAGTCATTTATTTTTACCTGGATGAGATTTAACCTAGTGCTCAGGCCAAAGTGCCAGTCATCCTCATTAGCTCTGTAGTGAAGACGAACCTTAGTGGGGCTTAGTCTTTGCAATGGGTTTGTAAGGCCAGTTTAATTGTTAACAATGCAGGGCCGCTATAGGCCACCACAATCTGCTGCTCCCCCTTAGAGCTCCTTAGCACATGCTGAGGGGAGCCTAGGTTTGGAAACAAGAGGAGCAGGCAGAGCACTTTATGCTCTGGTTAGTTTGCACTGTGGGTCAGTTGCTGTCAGTTAGGTGGTCTCCCATGAGGCAAGGCCAGTCTTGTGCTTCTGAGCGTTTCCAAAAAACAAAAAAAAGAGCTTAAGAGATCACTTTTGTAAACCACGTTAAAAAAAATCCATTCGCATCCCTGACCAGTGTTGTAGGGGCATCATCAGCGTCCCAAAAGTACCAAGACTTTTGACCAGTGGCAGGAATCATACAGTAACAAAGTCGAATTAGACCTCACTACCTTTGGAAATAGTCCCCTTAGCACCTCAGAATTTGTGTTGTCAAGAAATTCAATCCCTCAGCCAGGGAAAGTTTCACAGCAGAGGAAATCTGAAGGAATGTAAATCCTCTTCGCATAGTGTGGAGTGGAAATTCTCTGTGGGGAAATCATTGCAAAAGAAGATCACAAGCTAAGCTATAACCAGTGAAAGCTCTCAGCATGGGGAAAAACATAACTAGTGTTTAAAAACAGCCTATGAAGAAAGAGAGATCATTCTTTTCTGTCTAAAAAGTTTCCTAAAGGTGTCAGCAATGCTAAACTTAAACACTTTTAGTATTTTTTTTTTTTTTACAGAACTAAATCTCCCACAACAAACAGCCTGAAAGTTTTATCAAGTTGTCTGGTTTCAAGGAGAGTTTTCAGGCAATTTAAAGACGTAGTGTTGCTCCCTGTTTACACAGTATCAGTAAAGGAACATTACAAAATGTTTGTCACTTGCTGATGGGGTTATTTAGTAGGAGGCAATGCTTTCCAGGGCATCTACAGTTTCCAGAACACACAAATATCTTTTTAAAATTTATTTTAAGACACCTTACACATTTGCATACATAACTTAGCAGGAGCCAGCTCACAGGAACATTGCCACCTACCATTTGAATGACATGCGTCTGCCAGATTACATTTAGCATACTTCTACGTTGACTTACTTCAGTGTAGAGTTCTATTTATGAAGTGATCTGGCTTGTCTTTTACAGACCCGAGTCTACAAAGACTTAAGTGCATGCTAAAGTTATACTTACAAGTAGTGCTTAAAATCAAGCATGTGCACAAATCTGTCCAGAATTAGAACCAAGGGACTAAACCAATATCCTGTGAAATAATGGGAATCTTCCCAAGAATGTTAGATCAAGCCCTTACATTATTTAATGCTTGATCATGGCAAAAGCCAAAGGACAAATGAAACTAACTTGGAACAGACTTAAATACTGAATTTCTCACCAATATTGATATCTGGTGAATTGGTAGCTGAAACAAGGCTTTTTTTTACACCAGGCCAAATTCTGTCTGCCTGGGCACTGATGTGAGCTTGTGGGCATTGTGGGGCTGGTGATGCAATGAGAACAAGAATAAAGAGGGCTCACAAAGGATTGTCCATTTCTTGGTAGCAAGCTTTCTTGGTTTATTCAGGGCCTTGCTGTGCTGTTTCATTGTCCTGGTGTGTTAATAGTTTCCTGCACAGTCTGCAAGAAGATGTTCCAGACATGGAAGATAAATGTGGTTATCAGTGGCATCTAGATCATGCCAGGGGTTGGCAATGCTATTTCTCAGCAGGGCATGTTAATTGAGACAGCTGCAGTATAGGCATAGCCTCTGTTGCATTTTAACCTGTTACTGACATCTTTTCTGGGAGCTGTGCTAGGTAGCCTATGCCATCAGCTAACCTCTCTGCACAAACATGCCTGTGGTCCTACCCCTCTACTCCATGTAATGGCTGGAAACTGGTATTTAAAGGTTTCCTTTTG